CGAAACTCTGGGTTTCATCCCAGCATGCAGAGAGCAGAGCTTTTTCCTGGAATCTGGAGCAATGCTCACACACAGTCCTGAGTGGGTGCTCCCGCTCCTTTTGGCTCGGGAGAAGTCATTCCCTCCAGCTGAGCCCTGCCATGGCCCCTGTTGGCCCTGGAAGCTCTCAGCATCCTGGTGGCACTTTTCCTCCCATCCTGGCTCATATCCATGGCTGGCAGTGTGGCCTCTCCCGTGGTTTTTGGTCCTTGGGCTGCCTGCTGCTGCTCCATTTGCTCTGGGCGTGCTGTGCCTCACTCAGGCATAATGGTGCATGAGGGTGAAAAATTAAAAACGTTGGCTTTCCTTCACTCCCACATTAATTTCCTATTTTCTGGCTTTCTTCCACGACCATGAGGACTGGAAATTTTGTTGTTAGCAATAGATGGAAAGATGTTTGTGCTGGCAGCCATTGAGTGTGGGGAGGCCCTGCAATCCCCCCCATGTGCCTGGGGGAGCCGTGTTGTGCTGGGGCACGGCACAGCCCAGCCACGCCAGCAGATGGGACTCAGTTTAACTTTCCTGGAGCAGGATAATCAGCTTTAAAAATTCTTCTGGAGGCTGCTTAACCCTCAAATACACTGGACTTAGTTGTCATCTCCCACGAGGTCGGTGTCTCCTCCAGGCCAATGCAGCAAATCTCCGTCAGCACGATCCGAGCCGTATCAACATAATTTTTTACATGATTGCCCTGCTCTGGAGGTGCTCAGGCTGCCTGGAATCAGCGTTGCCTCAGAGACAGCTATATCCGAAGCCTCCTCACAGGGAAATGTTTGGAAGCTAACATCATCACTTCCCAACATGGTGAGATCTCAAGAAGTTTCCAACCCTTCACGCTGCAGTTATTCCTGGTAAAGAAGCAACCGTTAAGGACTTTTATCCTCTGTGAGGCTGCTTTGCCTGTTCTCCAGGGAAATAATCAAGGAGGAGCATTGGCATCTGAGGGGAGGATGATTCTCCCATCTGGATATCCAAAGGGAAAATCCTGCTTTTAATCATGGCTCTGTAGCTGAGCACTGATAACGCAGGGTGAGTGTCCGGAGTGAAACCTCTCCGTGAGGTTCAAGGTTTCATGGACAGAAAGATGCTCAGATGGCAAAAACCCTCCACCATTCAGGATATTTTAAATCTTTCATTGTGGGAAAATAATAAAAAAAAAAAAGGCAGGAATTGAAGGATTTAAAGGATGAAGTTTTATTTTAACAACATCTCTTATGGCCTTTCCAAACTTTTTGTAGGAAATGCTCTTTGGACAGGTGCTTAACACAGTCATTATCCTGGTTTTTGGGGGGAAACTAAGGTTTTACAGGCTGGATCTCCTGTTATCCTGGCTCTGGCTTTCTCTCCTTGAAGACAAAACATGGAGAAGGAGAAAAGAGCAGCAAAGGCATGGAAAGCACTGAGATCTGGAGAAACGTGCCAGGGATGTGGTTTTCATGGGACTGCTGGGCTCAGGATGGCATCAGTGCTGCTGCAGATGCCACCAGATGTACAAGAAGGAATTATTACACCTGATTTCCTCACTCTATCAGTGTCCAGACTCTTCTCCTTCTCTGCACCAGAAATAGGGATACAAGAGGACATAAAAGAAAGTCCTGGCTTATGGTGACCTACTTCCTTCTTCTTATCTTTGTATTCTGTTGACTTCTATCAGTAATTTACTGTAACAGACCAATCAAAAGGTTTATCCCCCCCACACCCAGCCAGACCTCTGGACTGGAGGGTTTGTCTGTGTGTGCAGATAGGAGAGAGTTCCCTTCAGGGCATGGACCTGAGACCTTTGAAAAGGAGATATATCATATTGAGCTTTCTAAACTATGATGGATCATGCCCTTCTATATTTACAGTTTTCAGCACTTTGCTATGCTTTGGGTACCCCAAAACACTTCCTGGGCTGCAGTCCAACAGCCCCCTGCCCATCTTCTCAAAGCTTCAAATCCCTCTGGAGTTCTGCCTCCAGCTCTGGGATCCCCAGCACAGGAAGGACCTTTGGAGCAAGTCCAGAGGAGGACACAGAGATGCTGCCAGGGCTGGAGCCCCTCTGCTTTCCTTGAAGCCCAGCTGGGAGAGCTGGGGGGGTTCCCTGGAAAGAGAAAGCTTTCAGGGAAACCTGAGACTTCCCAGGGCCATAAGGGGGCTCCAGGAGAGCTGGAGAGGGACTGGGGACAAGGGATGGAGGGACAGGACAGGGGGGAATGGCTTCAAACTGACAGAGGGCAGGGTTAGATGGAATAGTGGGAAGAAACTGTTCCTCGTGAGGGTGGTGAAGGCCTGGAATGGAATTCCTAGAGAAGCTGTGGCTGCCCCATCCCTGGAAGTGTCCAAGGCAAGGTTGGACAGAGCTTGGAGCAACATGGGATAGTGGAAGGTGTCCCTGCCCATGGCAAGGGCCTGGAACTGGATGAGCTTTAAGTTCCCTTCCAACCTAAAGCATTCTGTGATTCCATGATTCTGTCCCTCTGCAGTGCCTGCTGTCACTATGGCAACTGCTGTGAGAATGTGAGGCTGGGTGAGGATGCTCTGTGGGAGGAGGATGCTGTCTCAGATAAGGATGCTCTGTGGGATGAGGATGCTGTCTGGGATGAGGATGCTATCTCAGATAAGGATGCTCTGTGGGATGGGGATGCTATCTCGGATAAGGATGCTCTGTGGGATGAGGATGCTATCTCGGATAAGGATGCTCTGTGGGATGGGGATGCTGTCTGGGATGAGGATGCTCAGCAGGATACAGTCACCCTACCCCTGCTGCTCAAGGCCAGGCAATTCAATTAGAGCCGATGCAGCCAAGGGAGGGGAGCTGCAGGCTATGACTCTCTTTCTAATGGCAATGGAATTGTTCCTGAAGCCCATCTGGAAACGCTCCTGAGGAAGGAGCTCATCCTGCGGGGCAGCACCATGTCCATTATCCTCTCAGAGGGAACAGATGATGCTCTGGGCAGCCCGAGGGGCGTAACCAGGGAGGGTTTTAGCTTTGCCTCGGATCCATCACCGAGGCCTCGGGCAGTGCCTGTTCAGCGGGTCAGCGACGGACACACGGTCCGCTGTTCTCCACATCAGGCAGGAGGCGGGACTCGAACCGGGGTCCCTCAGCCCTGCGCGCCCTTCCCTTCTCCCTGAGGCGCCGCGCGGCGCGGGGGCCGATGGGAGTTGTAGTTTTTTCTCACCCCCACCCTTCCTCCCGCGGCTCCCCCGCCGCGCTCGAACTACACCCCATGATGCCCCCGCGAGGGAGGGGCTGTGGGCGGTGTCTCGGGGGCGGGGCCGGAAGGAGGAGGAGGAGGAGGAGTGGTGGAGGGGGCGGTCGCTCCCCGTTTAATCCGCAATAAAAACAGCCCAGTAGATACCCCTCCCAGCGCTCATCTCCCCCTCTGCTTCTGCCTTCCCCCGGGCCGATGCGCGGGCCGCACGGGCGTGGCGAAGTGAAGAAGAGGCTCCTTCCTCTTCCTCGTCCTTCTCGACCATGGGCGACTGCGGAGCCCCCGGGGACGTGAACTCCAACGTGCTGGTGGCCCGCAGCACCGGGGACGCGCAGCTGGACAAGGCGGTGTGGCAGTGGCTGAGCTGGGACAAGGTGGGTGACCAGGGGAGACTCTCCCAAAAAACCATCCCACTCCCCCCGGGGGCTGCCCCACCCTCCCAGGGCTGATGTGCCTTCAGGAATTCCGTCTCCATCCCATCCTGCCCGCGGTTTGGTCTTGTCTCCATCCCTGCCGCTGGAAAAAAAATACCGTCTGGATGCGGCCAGATCCTGCCTGTGGGATTGCTCACCTGTGAGACGGGAAGGGGGATGCTGCGCCCATCCCGGGGCTCTGCCCGCGCAGGGATGGCTCATCCTTAAGGAACAAGGTGGAAACAGGTGCCAGGGTGGCTTAAAACGCTGAGCCCGTTTTCCTCAGCTTTCCGAATTTAACCCCCTCTCCCCAGGAAACAAACAGGCCACGGAGGGTCCAAATTCTGGCACGTCCCTCTTCCAGCTCCAACACGGTGTTTCAAGAGCACTGCGGGCTTGATTAATTCAGATTAAACCATCCAAAGCAATGAAAACAAAGTGGTGCGGGAGGTTGTTTTGCTTATCTCATTGTTGTAAGGGTTATTTTAGGGCGTCTTTTTGCAGCTGGTTTGTCCAACCATGATGCCCTGTGCTTTAAAAAACATCTTGGAGGAGGGTAAACTACCAGTACACCAGTGGTTTGGGCTTTTGGCTTATTTTTTTCCTTATTTTTTTTTTTTAGGTTTCCATCTCCTGGCTATTTTTTTTTTCTTTTTAGGTTTCTATCTCGATTTTTGTTTTTTTTTTTATTTTGTTTCTTTAGTGATAGTGATTTCCAGTGTGTTTATACCGTTTCCTCTTTAATTTCATCCTGCCAGGTCCAAAGCAGGAGGGCTGAGAGCACACCCCACCTGATGGCTCTCAGATGAGCTCTCTCCTGCTTGGAAATATGCTCTCCTCTTTCAATTTTGCAGGAATTAACAGTTGCCATCTGCACCTTCTGCTCTTGGAACTGCTGCTGTGAAAATGTCCGAGAATAGTGGCAGGGAAGGAGTGGAAAAGGGAAATGGCACTGCTGATAATACACTTGATAACCCAGATTGAGCTCCAGCAAATGTTTTTTTTAGTTAATTTCTGGTTAGTGTTTTGCAAGATTTTTGTTGTTTGGGTTTTCTAACTGATTATTGTGTACTTTTCCTAGAAAGTAGGACTTACAATGGGGAAAAATATTTTGGCTAAAACCAGGAATAGTGGAATATCGTTTCTAGAGCTCTTTCTAAGGCCATAAATAAGCAATAAAATACAAACTGCAGAGTCAGTTTAACTGCACCTGTTTGCCCTGCTTCCTTAGGTGGTAATCATTAAATTTCCTATAGGGAACTTGGGGAATTGGAACTACTCAGAGGTTTCCAAGAGAGTTGCTGGGAGATTTTACAACTCAAAAGCCCCCGGAGAGGCTGTAAACAAACCAGGTGAAGGTGTTTTGGGATGGGAAGGCAAAGAGAAACCAGGAAATAGGGCACGAGGAGGGTTATTGGTCCAATGGCCTTGTATTTCATGGGGAATGAGGCCTTGGAGATTTATTGCTTATCCAACTTCACGAGGGGCTGCCTGTGCCTCCCTCCCTTCCCACCCCCAGCTTCCTGAGTCTCAGGGATTTTTTTGATGCCTCTGATCAAGGGAAAATCTATGCACCGCATTCCCAGCTGTGGGAGGCTTTTGTCCTGTGACTTAATTGAAAATTGCCCGCTGTAATTAATTGCCAGAGCCGTGCTCGTTGTCCTCCGTGGTTTGGATGTGCTGGTGGTGGGCTGGGGCGTGGGTGGGTGGGGGAAACCTGACCGTGTGATGATCTCTCTGCTCTCCTCCCCTTCTCACCAGCATCTTCATTAATGCTCCTGGCATTCTCCCTGCTTTCCCATTCCCTCTCCTTAATTGCTGTGCCTTTGCTTTTTGTCTTGGAGGCACAAAGCCACGCGGCTTTTGTTCGGTTCTCTTTGGTAAGCTGTGTGAACAATCGGTCATTGTTCTACTTTTTGTGCCTTTTAATTCGCTTTCATCCACTTCCCAATTGTCCTGTTGTACTTTGCAGTCTCCTAAAGGAGTCTGGATTGTGGTCTTTGTTCCCAGACTGCTCCTGGATGGTGGTGGATGTTCCTGGGAGAAGGGGATGCTTTGGCTGTCACAAAAGCACCATTTGAACATCCCCTGGGGGGAAAAACTGGAATTAGCCCTCCAGCAGCTGTTTGTGCAGGTCCTGTTCACTGCACTCATTCTATTGGACTCATTTTGCTCAATTTTACTTTATTTTATTTCATGGACTCGGTGTCATTGTCTCAGGTGTATCTTGGAGAGCTCGTTCCTTGCTCATAAGATGGCTTGGTTGGTTTTGAGGTGCTTTTGGGGTGTCCCTCAGTGTGCTTTTAATTTTTGTGGCTTTTGAGATACCTTTCAACAGGAAATGGACTTGTGTGTTAGACCAGTAACTTTCTCCAGTCATTTGACTTGTGTTTTTCCTTAATAAGTTCCTTAAGTCAAGTTTTTAAGAGTAAAAATGGGGAAATCAAGTCTAGGAATGGGCCCCTGAAAAATCCATTGTAATTACACATGTGCACTGCAAGTTCTAATGTTAAAACATAAAAGATAAAGTTATGAATTACTGAAATAGCTGATTTTGACTGACTGGGGCAGAAACTTGTTGGTGCAACCGATGTTACTGGGAGCAACTTGGAATGGAGTGAGCTCTGAAATAACACAAATTTGGTGCTTTAGTACCTTTTCTAAGACAGTAAACTCCCTGAAATCCATCAGGATAGTCTTGAAACTTGCACTTGGTGGCATTGCTGTCTATATTGGTTGATAAATAAAGTGATAAATAAATTGTGGAGGCAGGAAAGGGTCAGTGTTTCTACAGTGACTTTCAGGTATTAGAAACAAGACTTGAGCATTAAGACTTCCCCTGTATATTTTCAGTGTAGTTTAGTTAAAGAGTGTGGAAATGAGTGTAAAAAAAGGCAGTTCTAAGAGGTTTGGGTTTTTTTGTTTGTTTCTTGTTTTGTGTTGGACCAAGATAAGAAGTGGTGCAGTTACTTAACTGATTTTCCCATAAAAATGGTGGTGAGGTTGCTCACTAGAAAAACATTTCTTTCTTAACAAGAAATGAGAACATAACAGTTTCTAAGAGAAATTATAAATGACAACTTGATGCAGGTGCCACTGCTGGTCTTAACTGTGTAATTAAGGTGATTGGCTATGCCATGGGTAATGTTCCCTTTCTCTGCACTAGGAGTTCCTACAGATACTCTGGTGTGTTCTGAGGGACTGAACCTGATTTTCTTTGGAAAAAAGAGCTTAATTGCTGCTTAAAAACCAAAGGCTGGCAAAGCTTGATGGACTTAATTTGTGGCTGTCAAATTTGCTGAATTCTAAGCAAACTTGAGACCATTTTTCCCTTCTCCCAGGCTGAAAGTGCCTGCAAAATAAAAAATGATGATGGCTGAGGGTAGTGAATTGCCACTTTATTTTGACAGGGTATTAGCTGTGAAACCTAACTCTGGCACTAAGTACACAGGATTAATGTGATTGGGAGTGAAAGAACCTGTAAGAAATACTCAGCTGATGCCCTTGTCTTTAATTCTGCAGTTGTTTCCAATTTTGTATCCTGATGAGCTACAAAAAAAAGTGTGCTTCTGCCTCAGAAGGCAAGTGGAAAACTGAAAATGTAGGAGCACAACACTGAATTTGGTAGAGAATATATTTGTTTTTTTTAATAAAACCTCCATCCTTTCTGAAGAGCGTTGATGTTGCAGAGCCTCAGCAGCTACGTTGGTCTCCTGCAGGTTGTGATTCTGATGCTGGCAGTAAATTTTTATAAGTAGTTGCTTAAAGTATATCTGACATTGCCAGCAGGCTCAGCCCCCTTCCTTCTTTTTAGAAACCTTCATAGTCTCCTCCAAATTTAACTCTGGAGCACCACTGACATAGGCTTTGTAAAGTTCCTGTCTGAGAACTGGAGTCAGAAACAGCCCAGGTAGCAGGCAAAACCACATTTTATGGGGAGGCAGTGCTGGCTTCATACGGGTGGCTTGTGTATGTATTAGTGGAATAATTTTACAGGAAAAACATGATACAGAACTGTCTTTTTTTTCCTGGTATTTGTGTGAGTGAAAGAGTCTGCTTGGAATGGGATGGGAAAACGTTTCCTGGGCTCTGGTTGCTCTTCACTTCCCAGGTGTTGAATGGCCTCAAAGCTACTGAAAAATTAAAAATGTTTAACGAGTTTACATCCTCAAGTGGTGGGTTGAGGTGTCTGAGGGCACTCACAGCATGTTTTGGGTGCTGCCAGGTTGAGAATTAGGTGAGGGCAGAGCTGCTCCTGAGGGGGAGAGTCCAGGGCTGGGGAAAGGACCAGCAGGGAGGGACACCCAGGTAAATCCAGTGAGGATGGGCTGTGCTTGAGGAGGAGGAATCCCCTGTCAGAGCCACAGCCACAAAGCCACCTCTAGTCCAAACCCCAGCCAAAGGCCCCTCTGTCCCTCCCTGTCCCTTTTCTGGCCCCAGCAGGGCATGGTCAGGTACCACGAGCTCCTCCCAGGGCCCTCCTGCCCCTGTCCCCTTATCTGCCACCTCCTTGCACAGGCAAGGGCAGGACCCCTTGTGCTCTGGGAGCAGGAGGGATGGCATCTGTTGGCTCTTGATTGCTGCCTTGTCCTCCCACTGACCTTTACAGGTGTATCTTTATAGGTATATATCACTTTTATTTATTCAGATTTTTAATTTTTAATATATTTTATGTATTTTTAATATATATATTTAATACTCTTGGGCACATGGTGTGATTCTTCAGGATGATCCTGTGCAGGGCCAGGGGTTGAACTTGATGATCCTTGTGGGTCCCTTCCAACTCAGCAGATTCTGTGATATAGATATAAATGTTATAAATACATACATATATAATATTATAATATTCTAATGTATTTATATATTACATATTTATATCTACACATATTTATATTATAATTGTATTTGTTTATACATTCATATATAGATATATACATATTTATACATTCATTTATATGTTTACTTGTATATTGTTTGCATATTTACATGTATTTTTATATACATTTATAGTTATACATACCTGTAGCTACCTGTAGATGCCTCTATATATTTATATATATATTGATATACTTATATATATGATATATATAAATATACATGCATATATATAAATATTAGTTTTACTTAGATCAATATATATAGAAATATACATACTTACAAATAGTTTTATCTACTGCTATGTGTATTTCTGTTTGTGTATTCTCTTATATTTGTATTTATAATGTGTGTGTGCTGTGGGGGCTCTGGGCAGGTTCTTGGGAAGCTGTATGGCAGCAGAGCCTCCCTCTTCCCTTCTCTTTTCCCCTTTGGAAGCCTGGTCCCTGTGGACTCCAAGGACCCTGCTCTCTGCCAGATGCTTTTTCCACCAGTAAAAAATCCTTGGAAAACCAGTAGCAGTGTGGGGCTCAGGGCTTTGAAGGGTCTGTGTCTCCCTAAAAACCTGTTTACTCTTCAGACCACTCAATCCATGAGAATTTAAGTTGCTTTGTTGGAGCCACTGGGCATTCAGGGGTATCTTAGAGCATTGCTTCTTTTTTTTTTTTATAAGGAATGACTATTTTTGTATCCAACAGCCTAGTTTATTTTTGCTTAAGACAGGAAGATCTAGGTTGTTTTATGTTGAGGGTTTTTTTTTTTTTAAGGATATTAAAAGTCATCCAAGGACTGGAGTGTAAAATCTCTAAGGAACTTCTTTTGCTTACCCAAGTAACAGGAGAAGAGAGAATGGCCTCAAGTTGTGCCAGGGGAGATTTAGGTTGGATATTAGGGGAAATTTCTTCCCCAAAAGGGCTTTCCTGCCCAGGGCAGGGGTGGAGTGCCTATCCCTGGAGGGATTTAAAAGTTATGTGGATGTGGCACTTGGGGACATGGGTCAGTGGAGGCCTTGGTTGTCCGTGGTTGGACTCCATCATCTTAGAGGGCTTTTCCAGCCTGAGTGATTCCATCAGCTATTACACTCAGAAAAATGAACCCTCATAAAAGCCACTGTGAGACCTTCAGTTTTATGACTTGATTTCATAACTGCAAAGCAAACCAGCAAAAAGCCCTGCTTTGTTTGTTGGTGTTTTTTTCTCCCCAGATTTGCAGTCGGGTTAAATGTCAGCAGTGGAAGCTGCTCTCAGAATTCCCAGGGTGGTAAATGCTGCTCATACCCAGGCAGGATGTTGCAAGAAACTAAGCCAGTGGGCTTTGAAACTCCAACCTGGAATAAAAAAGACAAGCTGGGAAGAGTGAAAGCAGTAGGGATTGTGCCAGGTTGGGATAACCTGTCTGGAGGTCAGGCTTCCAATGCTACTGAATGTGTAACCCAGAGCATGACACTGATCATCAACACATCTGAATTTATGCCAAATCTTGTAAAATGCCCTCTTTCTGTTGGCCCAGGAGTTTCAGATCATCTACGAAAAGATTGGAGGTTTTCACTTGTCATTTTATTTTTTTCCTCTTCTCTTTATCAAACTTTAGCTTAACTGAGGAAATTGAAATGTTTTTTTGGGTGCTGTTTTGGCTGGCTCATTTTTATTCCTTAGGAAATAAATGGAATAGCTTCACTCAAAAATGCTTTTTAATCTATTTGTAAAATAAACCTTTGTGCTTTGTTGCTTCAGGGAGGTCTTGCCTCAGTTTTGCAAAGCTCCATGAAGCCTGCAATGTGCAATTTTTATTCTGTTTTTACAGGGAAGCAGTGCAGCGTATCCTGAAAAGCTATCAAAGATGCTGTGTAATTTAATAACCTGATTTTAAAGCAAAGCCATGTAATATGATAGTGTGAAATGAGGTTTTTCATTACTTAAACTCTTTTCAGGTCAGTCATTTGTTTTTCTGGTTGGCTGCCTGTGAGCAGCTAAAAGAGAAACCTTCGCTCCTGTGGTTCAGTATTTGTTGTGCCCCATTGTTTTGGTTTCTGTTTAGGCCTGGCTTTAGCTGTGTTGCTAGCAGTGTTTTGCTTTAGTTGCTGAGCCATCCAAGAGCATGGACAATAATAGCTTTTATTTTAAGGCACAAAGGAATGAAGATTTATCTTAAATTCACGTATCTGGTGTTCAGGATCTGTTACCAAGCCGCAGAAATAATTTCAGATTTTTCAACGAGGTTTACTGTGTGTTTTTATTCCTTGTGAGTGTGTGCAGCTCATATCTCTATGCTTTTCCCAGCATTTTCCCAATCCTCCTGAAGAAGTTCCCCCTCTCTGTGCAGAGCTGTGTGTCCTGGTGCTGCTGGAGCTGGCTGACCTCTACTTTAAATGTCAGGGGTGCTTCACTCTTGCCCTGCAGATTCCATTTGCCTTTTTTAACCCTTCCTTGGGACCCTGCTTTGGAGAAGCACTTGTGCCACCTGAGCTGTGTTTTATACTTCAGGAGTAGTTTTTTTCCAGCTGTGTATCCATTGCCTCCTCCTACACTGTGTGTGTAGGATCTGGGAAGTGTCTTGTCTGACCTGGGTGTGGGTTTTCTGGTGATCGAGTGAGTTGAATATTGCTTGAATAACTATGGAGAACAAATAGCTGGATGTGTACAACGTGCAGTTTGTACACTTGGAAGTTTTCAGCTGTTATGGAAGTTTAGGAAATGCCTGAATGAACAGAGGGATCACTGGATAAGAATCCATCCTGTGTAGAGTGGAATGGGGCTGGGTGCAATGTGGTGCAGTGGAAGGTGTCCCTGCCCGTGGCACAAGGGTGGAAGTGGATGATTCTTAAATTGCCTCCCAGCCCAAATGGTCCTGTGATTCCATGATTTTACTGTGCCCCTTCACAGACCTTTCCTGTGGGTGGGGAGGAAGGAAACATTGCTCTGCAACTCAGATTTGTCTGTCTTCCAGCAGCACAGATGAAAGATTGAATTGCATTACCCGCCTTGGAAAAACCGGTTCCAAAGTCTCTGTGCTCGTCACTCACAGGCTTTGTGTAGCTGGAAGGTGTATTAATGACCAGACAAACATATCAGTTTCCAGAGCAAGAGCTCTGGAGTCTTTTATTAATAAGGATGAGATGGGAAGGGGAACGTGATAAAAATGAGTGAAGGCCAGTTGGTGCACAGGTATTTTACAGGATGGGAAGAACTTGCACTTGGAATTACCTAAAACCAAGGAGTGCATATAGTTCAGTTCCTGATTTCAAGCACTAAATGAAGGCCTTAATCTTCTTTTGCAGAATCAGAAAACAAAGGAACAGATTGAGAGCTTGTTGCAGGATGGGAAGCACAAGGAGCTACGGGATCGTCTGTGCTGCCGGCTGAGCTTCGGCACCGCCGGGCTCCGCTCGGCCATGGGAGCAGGATTCTGCTACATCAACGACCTCACAGTGATCCAGTCAACACAGGTGAGCTGGACACCTGTTGGGAGAGGGCTCAGTGGCTCCTCAGGAAGGATTTGGTCCCGGTGTCCCACTGGAACACAAGCAGAGGCTGGAATGCAGCAGCTGTTCAACAGCTGGGTGGTAGCATGTGAAGTGTTCAGTGCTGAAAGGGAATTAAGTAGCTTGAGGAGGTTTAACTGCATATTCTAGGAGGCAGTTCTAATCACTTCCACTGGAATTTGGCCAGTAGTTAGTCTGCTAAACTGCTCTGTAGTTGGGAATCATTAACTGTTATATTTTAAAAAACTAAATGAAGAAGCAACAAGAAAACCCCAGAAAGCAAAGCTACCCCCAAACAAACCTTGTCTTTCATTTTTAGCCCCAGTTATGAATAACCACACAAAAATAGCAGATTTTACTGAGCAAATACAGAGGAATTCAGATGAGAAAGCAAAGTAGGCTGACTGGAGATCTGTATTGGGAATGGTTTAGCTTTTGGGGAATCTTTCCAATATTACTGGTTATGCTTCCCACCACCTGGGTTAGATAGCTGGTTAAGTGGCCTGGAGTTACTGTAGCTCTGCATGTGGCTCTTTCTACTCTTTTAAGTAGACAAGAAAGTAATTTAAGATATGAACTTTAAAGGTCTCAAACTACAAATCTAGTGTTACATGTTGGATTGGAGGTGTTGGCGATTCCTGATTTATCGGTGGTTTAATATTTGTGCATTGGGTTACAGATATCATGGGATTTTTTTTTTCCAGGAAAACATTGTCATGTGATCTCTTTGAGGACTAGTTCTTTGAATTTTGGAGTATTTTGGGATGGACTTCTTGATTTGAGTAGAGAGGGAGATCTTGGAACACAGACACAGCTCTTGCCCGGGGTTAAACCAAGACACTGCCCTTTTGATAGTTGTTAGTGTTGTTGGGGAAGGTCTGTGCTCGTGGGGTACAGCTCTGTCCAGGGAGGCTTCAGCCCTAATTCCTGCTCCTCTGCCAGGGGTCAGGCTCTGCTTGGTGCTGGTGCAAAAGAACTGGTACATGGAGTTGAAGATCTGGATATAGAGGCAGTTGTGGAGTTCTGACTGGTATTGCCACGGGGGGGTAGAGTGGTGGGAGAGACTCCTCACTGCCCTGAACCATGGTTTAGATTCTTTTGAGGAGCTGTTTCAGTTGATTTACAACCAGAAGGTCCTGCCAAACTCATCTGCCATTCAGAAATGCTCTAATAGTATGAACAAAACTTACTGCTGTGGCCCAGGTGGTCCCTGTGGATGCAGTGGGAACAAACCGAAGAGATTAAGGAAAAAAAAGCAGTTTAAAAACTGCCATTTTGTCACCAGTGGTGGAACGGTTAAAAGTAGCTGGGCTGATTTAAACAAGTCCACTTCTCTTTGAAGCAGAGTAAACCTCTTACTCATGCAGAGGAAGTTTGTAAGAGTCCTTTCACTCCTTGGCCTGTGCAGCCTGTTGGATTTGGAGCTCGTGGTGCCTTTGTGCTCCTGGGCTCCTGGGAGCGTGGCTGAGCGTGGCTCTGCTGACTGATCCACATTCTTGGCAGAAAGGGAGAAGTTTCCCTTTGCCTGGCAGGGAGTGGGAGGGCAAGCTCAGTTTCATGGGAATTACTGTTTTTTTGAGAGCAGCAGACTGGGTTTGTGTCTGTTCACTCCCTCTGTAGAGCTGCTATTTTTAGTTGTTTATTGAAGCCAGATATCAAGTTAGGAAAAGCAGCCTCTGGGAAGTGGATTAGAACTTGTTTTTGAAGTAAACTGTGTAGGGTTTAGTCTTTGTTTGAGCACTCTGTGTCAGAAGTTTAATAGCAGGAACAGTTTTGCTGAGCTTAGTCTGAAAATGGGCAGCCCTGTCTCTCTGTATTTGTCTTTACCTGGGACAGGGATAAATGGCCAAACAGCAGACTTGAGTGTAATTAACATTTCCTTCAATTAAAAGAAACTGTAGTGAATTCACACCCTTAATCATATGCTGTGCCCTTCATTTGATTTTGATTTGATTATACTGATATTATGAAAAGTCTGATCCAGGAAGGTACAGAATATCCAGCAGCTGCTTTGGACTCTCCTGAAAACTGTAGGTACATAACCTGCATGTAAAGCCCTAATTTTCCTGCTCAAGTATGGCTTCTTTTGTGCTTTTTAATTATGTCCAGATGGTTTTATTAATGGGAAAGAAACCTGTCACTGGCTTCTACAGTGACAAAACCACCTTTGCACAAGGAGATTCCTGTTGCTGTAAAAGCAAACCTGAGGGTAATAGTTGAAAAACTGTAAATACAGGATTTCATGAAGCTATTGGTAGCTCTCTTGATTTCACCAAGCAGAAATCTTTTCATCTCATTGACAGCATCACTTTTCCCTCACTTCTTTTGCACTTGAGCATCAGGGGCTGGGCTTGCAAGAGGATTAATTAAAACATGGCTGTAGATGCACACCTGTTGTTTTCCATGGATTTTATATATGGAAATCACCTGAACTGTGCAGTGGGATGGGGAATTGTGATACTGCAGTGAATTTTGGTGTAGATCTGAGGGGGTTACACACTTGTGTGCTGACACCTGCTAATAAGTCATTGTCACCACAAGGTGTACATGGTTCTCATTTAGGTGTATTATGAACTTAATAACAAGGGACACTGTCAAAACCTGAGTCTTGTTAAAAGGAAACAAATTATTTACACTGAGAAATTTAGTCAAGAGAGGACTTATCCCCAGAGGTGTTGGAGCTACTCTGTGCCCTCAGGGAAAGGGAGGATGGTGTGAACTCCAGTGGAGAGACTCTACACTCCCTCTCACTGACATTTACTTATTTACTTTCGTTTTCTGCAGCTTTAATAGAGGTATTTGGACAGTAAACAAGTCCAGTAGGACTGGGTTAACTTTAGCTGTGGGATCTCTGGCTGAGCTTAAGGGATTTTGTTAATTTTAAGCAAACTGCTCCTTGGCAGAAAGTAAAGACGTTCCTGGGTTTATTCACATGGAATCTTTGATTCCTGTCAAACAGAGAAGCTGGTTTAAGAGGATTTCCTAGGAAAAAATCTTACCTCGGCCTTGAGAGTGTTACCTGGATTGTGGTGGCACCAAATAGCTGCCAAAAATGCTTGGGCAGAAATCCTGGGGATGAGAAAATAGAGAAGATCTAATCTGCTGAAAGGAGCAGCACAGTCTGTTCCTTTACAACAAAAACAAATCCATTCCTCTGTATTCGAGGAATGAGGGAATGGAAAGCTGGGAGCAGCAAAAGCTGGGAGCAGTGTGAGGGTGTGGGCCTGAGAGCCAAAAACCCAACTGAGCTCTGGTGGTGGTTGTTGGGAAGTAAGGAAGGGGCGAGGAACACACTGGATGTGCAGAATCCTTGAAGTGCCCAGACTTGCTAGAAAGTTCCAGGGAAAGCCCCTGGGGGTTTGATGTGAAATAAAAACCACGTGCAGCAGCTTTCCATCTGTGCAGAGTGGTTTGTAATGCACTGGCTGTGGACAGGAGTATTAATTGTTCTGTCTCAACTCTGTCTATGCTGCTTCTGAATACTTTATATGCCCTTGTTTGCTGTTTCTAACTAGGACCGGTTTGTCTAAAATCCTGTTTCTTCCATAAATTGTCTTTTTATGCAGTTCTTGATGTTTGAGGCACTAGTTCAGACAAAATTCTGCAGTGTACTCTGACATCCAGGTACTGGGAGTCTGAACAAGGGATCTGTTGATAAGAAATCTGCTGTTCATTTCTCTACACATTATTCAGTGTGTTCAACTCAAATTTAAACATGTTTTCCCCATTCCTCTGTGTGACTTGGGCTGGTGGTTGTGCCATAGCACAGCCTTCAGTCCTGTCACTATTCTAAAATCTTATTTCTTTTAAAGTTTTTATCTTTATATTTATTTTAAAACTTTTCTCTCTGTGAATCCCTCAACATCTGCAGCTGAAGCAATTCTCCAAAGAGATGCCAGTGCTCCTTTGGTCCTGCTTTGAAACGCATCCTTTTAGAGTCCAGGGAAGGGAACGGAGCTGGGGAAGGGTCTGGAGCACCAGGAGCAGCTGAGGGAGAGTCAGATCAGATCAAAACATCTCAAAGAATTGCATTTAATTCTGGTGGGGGGAAAAATCTGTTGAATTCTAGTACGAAACACCCTCACTGCTACCAAGAGACAACTTGTACCCTGTGAAAGGCAGCGTTTTTAGAGTGAAGTTCCCAGTGCTGTTGTCTGACTGTAGTGAACTGTAACCTCTGGAAACTTCCATTAACAATAGTGCTTCCATCTTTTTATCTAAAACTGCTGATCTGCCCTGGGTTGTTTCCGTGATGGATCTCCAGAGAGACTCTTAACTAGGAGGTGAATGGGTGTTGAGGCCACAGGGGAGGTGAAACTGGAGCACAAGATCTTTAAAAGTCCCTTCCAGTGCAAACCATTCCATGATTTTTAAGGCAAATTTAGTACTAACACTTTGAAAACAGTGTTGAAAAGGTGTCTTGACTTGTGCTGTGAGCTCAAGAACAAAGACCAGACTGGCACAAACCTTATATTGACTGAATAGATGGACTCCCAAAAAATGGATTTTTTTTTTTTTTCAGTTGAGCCTTTAAGAACATAATTTGAATAAATAAAAGCACAGTATGAATTAAAAACAAGTGTTTGCTGCCTGAGGATTTACTGTTGTGCCACTTTTATTTCCCACAGCTGTTTCTCTGGTTGCTTTCTTTCAGTGAACACTGGGGAAAAATCACTGCTGCTCTTGTGAATACCATTATTGAGGTTTCTGAGCTGTATTTTGTCTACTGACATTATCCATCTTCTGTGAAAGATCATCTTTAATGTTTGTGTGCTAATTCTTATTTTTCCCTTTTTTTTTTTTTTTTCTCTTTCCAGGGGATCTACAAGTATCTTGAGAGGAATTTTTCAGACTTTAAGCAGAGAGGCTTTGTTGTTGGATATGACACACGAGGTCAGGTCACCAGCAACTGCAGCAGTAAGAAGTATGAGTATTGATTACATTTGCAAGACTAGAAATGAAATTGTGGCTTTGAATGCTTTCTGTTCTGTCAGCATTTTTTTGTGATGAACTGGGCACTCTCTTCCCCCTCCTTTAGTCCATTTAAATAGTAGTGAAGAGAGGCTGGAAATAAATTCTTTATGGTACCAGTTTGCCAGAAATGTGGAGTGTAAGGCTGGTCACTCCAAAGAATTTACAGGTGTAAGTGCACAAGAACATGAGGCAGATGTTGAAGTTGATATGCCTGGAGAAAAATTTGAATATGAAGGTAAATTCAGAATATTAACATTTAGCTTGAAATCAATAAGTGTTACTGTGCTTCTAACACTGTCAATCTTTTGTATTTTGCACCTGATTTAAGCATGTTTGGGGGGGAAAAAATCCACCTCCAGCCTCCTGTAATCCAGTGTATTTTCACTTCGGGAATATTTGACCTGGAATGCTTAAAACTTAAATTTCAGTGATGTCAAATTGTGCCCTTTGTAACAAAAGGGGAGATAACTTTCTGAGTTCTATGAGGAATCTTAATCTCTTGTTATTCCAGGAGCAAAAAACATGTGATAATGGCATTCCTTACAAAACCCCAACCTAATTAGTTAGCTAATTAGTATTTAGGTAATGAGTAGTTAGTTACAGCAATTAACTACAATAATTAACAAAGTTGTTTCTCTTTTTTAATATTATCTTTGTCAGCACTGCATATTTTGGGGATGTGAAAGTTCTTGCTATGACAGAGCACAGAGTGTAGTGACTGTCTTCCAAGAGTTTCTCCTTTCCTTGGAATTGTGCCTCTCCTTTCCCTTGGGCCTCGATGTGTGTGGCCCATTATCCACCAGGCTTGGGCTTAAGGGGTTTAAACTCACCTGTTACAGTGTTTGCAAATCCAAATTGTGAAGGTTTATGCACAGCTTAAAAATGGGGAAGTGTAAGAATAACATTCCTTTTTAGCCACACAAAGCCTGGAATTCAAACCTGTCCCAGGATCAGTTCTCAGCTGCATGTTTCTTGTGTCCCCTTGGGGTGACACACAGTGACAGCAGTGCTGAAATCAAACTGAACCTCCCCAGAAAGGGGGTTTCCAATGGGAGCAGTGCTTTTCCAGCGCTTTATCCAGCTTATAGTAAAGTCAAGGTTTAAAACCATGGGTGCTGTTGCTATTTCTAAACATTCTGGAATAAGAGTGAGTTGCTTTGCAGATGGATATTTTAGGAATAGGTTTCATGGATATTGTCTGAAGCTGCTGAACAAGCATTGTGTGGGATACAAAATCCTTTTCCAAACCTGCTGTTGCAGACATCTGGTCCTTCAGACTTTCTGGGTAGTTGGTTCTCTCCTTGAGTGAAGGACAAGTGTCCCTCCAGTAGGTTCTGTATCTTTGTGTTTGGTATCACCGGTTCATTTGGGTGATAGACTGAAGATTAAACCAAAAAGCAGTGGAGGGATTGGAGAAACAATTGTCTGGAGGTGACAGGAATGCTATCAGGTTACTGCGTTGCTGTGGGGAGTTGGATTGACTGAATATTTTGGTTTTCCTGTTGTTAGGCTTGCAAAGCTCACTGCAGCAGTGCTGCTGGCCAAAGATGTCCCTGTGTACTTCTTCTCTACCTATGTCCCCACACCCTTTGTGGTGAGTCACCTTCTCTTCCATATCTGAGTTTACTAAAAACATGAAACAGCGATTTGCCTCCTAAATTGTTATTTAAATGGAAAAATAGAGGCTGTTCAGTGTACTTGGCCCTTCAAGGAGGCTGTAAAAATATCACTGAATTCTTCTGTGCCTCTGCTTTTAATATCTCAGAAACAGAACTGTCTCTTCTAGTCACAGCAGCTTTTTCTTGCAGGATTTTAAAATCCTTGTTTCTGTTCCACAAGGTGTGGATCTTGTTTTGAGGTGAGGACTGAAATGCTGGGAATACCTTTAATTTGTTTTTTTTTTTTTTAAGCCTTTTGGTGAATTCCTTCTTTCTGCTTCAGCCTGTGTCTCTGAAGTGCTCATGTAATCTGAGCATAGATTTTAGTTGGCCAATTAACTATTGCATTTATGTAACTGATAAAGAGAATAATGTTTTTATGCAGCAGAATAGGACAAACTTTTGTTACTGGCTACAGGAGACAGTGATGAGTGTTCATTTATACATTTTCCAGATAAGCTGGTGCAACATGAAAAGCCACTTCTGTAGCATCCTGTTGCCTAACTGTCCTAATATGATGTGTGTGGCAGAACTCTTACCCATGTGGGTAAATGGCCGTTTCTGGGTTTCCTTTGTAGCCCTATGCTGTGCAGCAGCTCGGAGCTGTGGCTGGAGTGATGATCACAGCGTCCCACAACAGGAAGGAGGACAATGGATACAAGGTAAAGCTTGTGAAGTTCCAGTATTCCCATTTTGCCTTATTGTGGAACCACAGAATGGTTTGGGTTGGAAAAGACCTTGAAGATCATCTCATTCCAACCCCTGCCATGAGAAGGGACACCTTCCCCTTAGACCAGGTTCCAGCCTGGCTTCAGACACTTCCAGGGATCCAGGGGCAGCCACAGCTTCTCTGGGCAACCTGTGCCAGGGCCTACCCACCCTCAACATAAAGAGGCTTTTTTGGGAGCACACGTAGGTGTGCATTAGAAGATAAATTATTTCAAATAATTCATCCTTCTGTAACCTGAACTACTGTCCTGCAGCGAGAACATGAGACCACACTGGCTGTGTGTGGTGAGCAAAATCTGTCGTGACGTTCCCTGGAGCCTGATCAGCAGCTGAAGAAATGCTTCAGCAATTTGTGTTCACTCCTTAGAAGGAAAAAGTTAGTTTAAAACTGAGCTAGAACTGAGGTGAATTAGTGCACACAGTGTGACTGTGCTGAAGATGGGAACAGTTTAAAAGTTGACTAATAAAACTTAATGTGCTGTTCCCTGTCAGGGTGTTTGTCTGGGTGTTGGAGGTGTGGGTGGCTTCACTTTGAAAGCTGGGGGCAGCAATACCATCCACAACAGCAAGTGCTGCTCATGCACTATTGTAACAGTATTTAATTAATAAACTTTATGAGAGTCTGAACTAAACTCTCAACTTTAACTAAGCTGAGCGCTCCAGAAGCTTCATAACAGGTCAGTGAGTGATGGCAGAGTTGGGAAAGCCAATCCTCCTGTGCACAGGGAGAACTCCTGCACTTTTCTTCCCTGGAACAAGTTGTAAAGTACTGCACCAGCCCTTGCTTTTGCTCAGAATAAGGAAAGAAGCCACATCAGTTTTCCAGGTGCTTCGTTTCTTAAGAACCTTTATGTGTATGTCTGGTACACAGCACTTTTGTCAGGATACTGTGGGTTTTCCTGGTCTTTTGCAAGAACTGTTTCATCTTTCACAGTTTCTTCTGTGAATTCAGCAGGTTCTGGACAATTTGAACCAAATGTGACAAACTGACAAGAAAACAGAGGCAGATTCTCTGAGCAGAAAGTCTGCACTGTGATCTCAGCCGAGTGTGGGAAAACTGGCATCTAAATAATTCTTCAGCAAAGACTCCCATAGTTCAGGGTTTGATAGTGTTCCCAGCTGAAAGATTACAGTTGTTCAGCCATGGAAAAACACATACCTTGGCACTCTGCTTATCTCTTCTGCTCTGGGTTAAAAAGCAAGTCGTGTTTCTTTTACCAAAGGAATGCCAAACCATGGGGAAGGTGACATTTTTCTTCTCTTACACTTTGTACAACAGTCTCAGGTGTAAATGCCCAGCTGTGGTTTCTCACATCCTGATATTTCAGTCATAATAGTTAAATACCAGCTTTGTTTTTTAAAACAGGTGGTTTTGCTGGATGATTTTATCATTATAGAACTGAAATCATGAATTCAAAAGTTCATTGTAAGTGTTTCCAAATGGCTCTTGAGAATCAAGCCAGTCAGATGCTGAATTTTCTATATCATTTGAAAAAACAGAAAGTATGTAAAGTCCTATAGTTAAAGTAATTTATCAAATTAATAATCTTTTGTAAATAAACTGTCTCGTTTTCTTTCAACTTCCATCAGGTTTATTGGGAAAATGGAGCACAGATCACTTCTCCTCATGACAAAGAAATTATAAAATGTATAGAAGAGTGTGTTGAACCATGGAATGGCTCTTGGAATGAAAATCTAGTGGACACCAGTCCCCTTAGGCAGGATCCTCTGAAGAAAATATGTGACTGCTACATGGAGGACCTGAAAAAGATCTGTTATCATAGGTATTGTATAAAGCAAAATGTGCTTAAATTATGTTTTTAAGTAAGCTCTGGCCTATGTGTGGGAAAACTGACTGCAGACAGACTTCAGTGTCTTCTCTGTCAGTAAATTAGTAAAATCACCATCCTTAGTTTTAGCTTTATCTTCAGCAAAATGGTTTAATCCTATTTCATACAAAGGAATATGCTCAAAGAGTCCTGAATAAAATGCAGAAATTCAGAGTAAAGGTGTGGTTTAGGTGTATGAAATAGAGGTGAGGAAATTCAAGTTTAAGTGAGGCAGAAAACAAGACTAAAAGGAGGAGGATGAATGACAGGTGGAGTAGAACCAGAGTAACATCTTTAAGGTGGTGGAGGAGCTTGAGTTTGATGTAGAAATCAGCAGTTCATTCTTGGGAGACTTTAATCCAATTCAGCAGAAGGTAAATACTTCATTTTCCAGGGGAAGCTTTAAACCAGCAATTTCTGGTGAAAGTCCAAATAAGCACTTTTCACTCCTTCTGTCTTTGAAATTAATGCAGAGAGAGCAGCAGAGTAGTACACGGTGGGGCTGCATCTTCTTTTGCTCTCTCTCATGGAAATAGTCGTGTTAAACGACCCAAATCTTACAGAAATGTTGTTTTCCTCCCCAGGGAGCTAAATGTGCAAACAAGTTTGAAGTTTGTTCACACCTCTTTCCATGGAGTTGGACACGACTACGTGCAGTTGGCTTTCAAAGCCTTTGGCTTCCAGCCCCCCATTCCAGTACCTGAGCAAAAAGATCCAGACCCAGACTTCTCTACTGTCAAATGCCCCAATCCTGAAGAGGGAGAGTCTGTGCTGGTATTTTGGTTTTTACTTCATCAGATTTCTGTGGAGGGGAAAAAAACAAAATGGGGAAGGGGACTGGGAGAACCTGGGTTTCAGCTCTATTGATGCACTGGGAAGTCCATTATGGGATTTCTCTTTCCTTGTGTTAGATGTAAGTAGGAAGGCTGTGGTTATTTGCCCTTATTTTATATTTTTACATTTTTTACCCTCTCCTTCTCCCATCAGGAATTGTCACTGAGGCTTGCAGAGAAAGAAAATGCTAAAGTAGTAGTGGCCACTGATCCAGATGCAGATAGACTGGCAGTGGCAGAACAGCAGGAAAAGTAAGTGATGGGACCTTTTATCTCTTTCCTTTGCGGCTTAGCTATTTGGGTGTTTTTCCTCCTAGTTACATATTTTGGTGTAGCTCCAACTGCATCTTGAATAAAAGCAGTTAATAACTCAAAGATTAGATTAAATACTGTTGTAAATGGCCAGATAAAGCTCAGCTGAGAACTGAGTGGTTACTAAAGGCGGTAAAATCTCCTTGTTACTGTTTTTTCATTTATATTGGGCAAACCTGCCTTGGCACAGTTAAGTGTTGTGGGCTTTTTGTTGGGGTGTGAGGTTTTTTTGTTTTCCCTGCTTGTCCATATTGAATAGAAACTATTTTTTTTTCCACTAACAGGCCCCAATTCTGCCCGTGTAAGTAAGAGTTGTGCAGGCATTGCCTGACTGCAGTGTATAGATGGCATAGACTGCTCTGTATGAATCAGTTCTAGCCAGCTCTGCTGCTGGTGGATAAATCCAGAAAAGCTGAGCTGTGTTAAGGCTCGCAGTGAGGATACTCTGTGGTATCTTTGCTGACAGAATCCTCTGGGCTTGTAAATCCTCAGGATGTGATGAGTGTGGAGTCCTGTTGGTCCGGTGGCTTTGTCTAGAGCAGCTTGTCAGTGGTGTGCTCAGATCCCTGTTGTCCCAGTGGCTGCAGAAAACCTCTTCCCCCTTGGTGGATGCTCCTGGGAAACCTGGGAGAGCTCTTACATCTCCCTCTGCTCTCTGCAGTGGCTGCTGGAAGGTGTTCACTGGCAACGAGCTGGCGGCTCTGTTCGGGTGGTGGATGTTTTCCCGCTGGAAGGAGAACTGCTCCCAAGATGCTGATGTGAGGAATGTTTACATGTTGGCCACCACAGTCTCCTCAAAAATTTTGAGAGCAATTGCCCTTAAAGAGGGATTTCACTTTGAGGTAAGCCTGGGTTCTGCGACGTCTTGGCAGGGTAAGATCTGATTGCCATGTTCCCTGTCTAAACCCCACCTGTGACTTCATGACATGAAAAGTAAATTACTCCCACTCTTTTTGCCTGGAATTTTGGTGCATTTCAACCTACGGAGAATGTTTTTACCCAGACAAGCCTGATTTCATCCACTGCAGCATCCTCAGTGCATGTCACAGCTTGCAGACTGTGAGATCAACTTAAGCAAAGCTGCATTAACAGGCAATTCAGATTAACACCTAAATTACAGATAAATACCTTTGCCATGGTTATTTTCCTAGAGAGAAATTCTTCTGTGTGAGGATGAAAGCTTGTGCAGCCTGCTGTGTTCACTACAAAATGCTGATGGATTTTTAATAAGCATTTTGAGGTCACACAATGTTCCTTCAGGTCCCAGTAGGGTTTTTAATTGGGTTTTACTTCAAGTTGTGACAGACACAGGAACTCTTACATTCAGATCTTTAATGTAGCTTCATTAAGAATTTGCTAAAAAAGAAAATGGATACCCCACAGACTGACAGTTTATTTTAGTTCCTACATTCAAGGATTAAGTCTGATTTCTGAGGCTGTTGGATCTTTGCCAGAAGAGGAACAAGTGCCTTAAACCTTAGCACAAACATACAAAAGTCCAGGTCTTGTTTAATCCATGTCTTAATTAGAGTTATGTGCTATAGGAATAAATATTTTGGCAAACGATGAGGAATTTAAAATTGAAAGCAACTGTGAAAACCATTTTGAGTGACTGGCCAGATAAGCTTAATCAGGTTGAATCTCAGTTCCTTGTAGTGGATTTCATTATCTCAGTAAAATACTGGTCTTTTTTCTGGAAAGGGATGTATTTGACTGGGGGGGGGGAAAGCTAAGGCCCCTTGGTCTCCTGTAAAAACTTCCCCTCTTTGTACTTTCCTTCTCATCAAGACTGTTTCTAAACTTTTTGACTGCTTTTGAGTGACTTACCAAAAAAAAGCAGTGCTTTTCCTTCCCATCACCTGAAATGGTTGTTTATATTTCTGTAGCTTTTCCTTTTGAATAACTTTGTCTCATCTGATAAGCACCACAGAAGATGTGACCTTAGAGAACCACAGTCTCTCAAACACGTTTGCTCCTTGATTAGATACTCATGTCCTAGTTGAGTATCCACTAGGAAAATGCTATCCAGCAACTCTTTGCCTTAAATTCATAATCTAAACTGAAGTGATTACCTGTCTGCTGTGTCTTTGCTGTCTCTACTCTTTTTGTCAATTATTTAGATTTAAATTTAGGGAAATTATTTCAAGAAAATGAGAAAAATGTCTTTAAGCTTTAGCATTTTGACTGCAGCAGACTTTCCCATTGACCCTAAAATTCACAATATGTTTTTTTTTCCTTTGTGTGCTTTTTGAGTCTGAAGTGAAGGAATAGTGGCTTTACCTTCTTTGACTTAAAACTTAATTGAAAATGGGGTTTATTAAGCACTATTTTTTTTCCTCTTTTAGGAAACGCTCCCTGGTTTCAAATGGATTGGAAGCAGAGTAAAAAATCTCCTGGATAATGGGAAAGAAGTCCTCTTTGCATTCGAAGAGTCTATTGGTAGGCTTGTTAATATCCCTGTAAAATGTTGAGAACTGGGGGGGAAGTGTGATTAGAAAGGACTGACCTTAGTTATGAAACAAATCACCCACAATGTACTTTATTTTTTTCCTTGTAGTTACTGGTACTGATATTTTGCTCTCCTCAGCTCAACTCGCCAACTACTATAGTAAATTACTTACATATGACCCTCTGATTCTGGTGTTGTGCTTTGGATACAAACATGTTCTTTTACAGCTTGAAAGTCCTGAGATTCCAAAGCCAAACTCCAGTTGCTTTGTGGCTTCTTACCTCAGACAAAGCACAGGATCTGTTCTTAATCAGTTTAATACCTTACAGGTCCTCTCAGTGAGGACTTATTACCAGTGGCCATGTGGAAGTGGGAGGTGACTTGTGCCACCCACCACACCAGTTCTTTTGGGAGCTGTGTCCATCCCCTCTCTCAGAACAGCATGAGGGATCCAGCTGTGGCAGGAATAGCATTAAATACCTTATGGAGGTGTGTAAATGTTCCTGCTGACCTTGCCTTGAGCACTTTGCTGATCTTCAGACACCACCTACCTGTAGAGAACTGTCTTGTGAACGTTTGCTGTAGGAGTTCTCCATTTCTTGGGATAAATGGAAGCTTTCTGGGACAGTAGTTTCCCTCAGAGTGTGGGGGCAAATAATTTCTCTGAGAATATCTGAGAATGAAGCACGCACTGAAGAGGGGGGGTGTCCCTGCCAGTTCTATTCCCAAAATTCAAGCTTTTAACCATAAGGAGTTAGGATCTTGCTGGTGCATCCCTTCAGGAAGAAGAAAGCTTTGTGCAGCTCTGGTTCATGGCTGTGTTTGTATTTGTTTAGCACTGCACTATGACAGAACTCCCCAGGGAGCAGATGTTATCAATCTGGAATTAATTGACTACAGCACGGATCTTTCCAGCCCTATAACCCCCAAGTTAATTAGATTTCCCCTGCATATGCAGTAATAAACCAACTTATGTGTACTGGCCAATTTTCTTTTACAGGATAAAAGGTTAAAACCTAATCAAGGAAATCAGTGTAATAATTTATCAATTTTTATTTTTTTTTTTTTATTTCTAGGCTTTATGTGTGGCACATCAGTGTTGGATAAAGATGGTGTAAGTGCTGCTGTGGTCATTGCTGAAATGGCAACGTACCTGGAGGGCCAGAACCTCACACTGGCACAGAAACTTGTTGAGATATATGAAATGTGAGTTGTATTCTTCATTAGTATGTTCTACTTAACTATTTTAGAGTGGGAATAGTCTAATAAATATTTTTAATGTGTCCTCTGAATGTTTTCTCATTGTAAATTGGGTTTTTTGATGTATTATGGATTACAGTCCATCACTAGTGCAGATCCCACTGTACCTAAAGGGGCTCCAGGAGAGCTGGAGAGGGACTTTGGAAAAGGGATGGAGGGACAGGACAAGGGGGGAATGGCTTCTTGGCTGTAAGGGTGGGGAGGCCCTGGCACAGGTTGCCCAGAGAAGCTGTGCCTGTCCCATCCTTGGAAGTTGTCCAAGGCCAGGCTGGAGCAACCTGAGCTAGTGGAAGGTGTCCCTGCCCATGGCAGAGGCTTGGAACTGAATGATCTTCAACATCCCTTCCAACCCAAACCACTCTGTATCTGTGAATTTCTATGGATTCTGTGAATACCAAGGACTGAAGAGGCCCTTTCTATTGTATTTCTGCAATAAATAGTGAAATTTTGCATGGGGATCTACCAGGGCAAACTGTTTTTTCTAGTTTGATTCCTGCTGTGGTACTTCTCTTATGTTTGAATGGGAGCCATATCTTAGTTATGGTGTCTTTAAACGCTTCCAATTTCCCCTTGAACACGTGCTGGGAATTGTTTTATCCCATGCTGAGATCTGTAACAGAGCAGAGGTGAAAGGAAGGGTGTGTGTACAACAGCTACAGACACAATCCCAGCAAGAAAACGAAGATCACGTGTGCCAGAATTAAGCCAGGTACTGAGGTGAGCCCAGATCATCAGCAGAAATTCCTGTGCTTTAACAGAACTTACAGCACAGAGCAGTATCATGGATGTCATTCCTTCTCCTGCCAGCCCAGCAGGAAGACACTGTGGCCTTTAGAAACCTGGAGTGAGGAAGCACAAAGGATGATCAGCTTTTATCTCTCCATGGTACTCAGGGTTTTGCTCTGTCCTGTGCAAACTGTAGCCAAAACAACTCTGTGCAGGTGGATCAGAATGACAGGGATAGCAAACAGGATTCCTCTCTCAGTCACACCTGATTTTTAAGCTGTGGAGAAGGGTCTCTAGGAGTAGAAGTGGGTGGAATATGGCGAAGAACGACTTGAACAACTTAAATTTCAGTGTGCTAATGTGGTGGTTGTTCCTAGTGAGCATTAGGTGTGATTTGGGATGGTGGTTTTAACTTGGATGGAATAATCAACCACCTTCCTTGTTGTAGCTGCCACATGGCTCTGGCAGTCAATTTTTGGTTGGGGGAATGACACTGGATATCCATTTTTTTGAGGGCCACCAAGGCTGCACTTACCCAAATGGTTAGCTTTTATTTCTTTGGGGCCTGAAAACTTTGCTTTAATTTAAAAATAGCTCAAGATGATCTGAGTAATGCAGCAAAATCTGCTTCAGAGTCCAAACATTTGCCTATAAATACCTGTTCCCACAGCTCTGAGAACCGAATTCTTTTTCTGTTGCTACTCTTCCAACCAGGGGCTTTCTTTAGGTACCAAATGTGCCAAAAACTTCTGAATTTTGTAACTGAAAATGTTCATCTGCTTGTAGGTATGGATATCACATATCCAAGACTTCCTATTTCTTGTGCTATGACCCTCCTACGATCAAAAGGATATTTGAGAGACTTCGGAGCTTCGATGGCCCTCAGTCTTATCCCAAATGTTGTGGAAATTACAATATATTACATGTAAGAGATGTTACCACTGGCTATGACAGCAGCCAGCCAAACAAGAAATCGGTGAGTTGCAAAGTATTTCTGCATGGGAGGGTCTGGTTTTGAGGAAACTAAAAGGTAAAGAACAGCATGAACAAGGCAGAGATGCCCTGTGTCAGCTAAGATGGCAGAATGATTCCATCATCAGGCTGCTTAGCATCGTTACTGGGGGGAGAAAACAGCTTAAATGTGAAATGTGTTGACTGTTCTGGTACAGCAGTGAATGAACTTGATTAATTAATTGAACCTGATGCTCTGGCAACTCTTAAGCTGCCCAGCAGGCTTTCAGATATTGGGGTTCCAGTGGGAGTAAAGAAGGTTGTTGTTGTTTTTGTAGGTGCTGCCAGTGAGCAAAAGCAGTCAGATGATCACCTTCACGTTTCAGAACGGTTGTGTGGCCACCCTTCGGACCAGTGGGACAGAGCCCAAGATCAAATACTACGCTGAGATGTGTGCCCTGCCTGAGCAGAGGTCAGCAAACCTGAGCCTCAACTGACTTCCAGCCTCCTAAACTGGCCAGAGTGATGCACAGTATGAGTGATGCTCATAAGGGATTTCCACTGTGGTGGATAAGAAAAAAAATACTGAGTTTTCAGCATCTGCTACAGTAGGCTTGTTTAGTTAATCCAGTTCCTCATTTACTTAGAATTAAAAAGTTAAGAAATCACAGAAAATGGAAAAGACCTCTGGGACTGAATCCAGCCTTTGACCTTGTCACCCATGTGCCATGTCCAGTCTTTCCTTTTTCTTAGGTTGTGCTGTTGCTGGCAAATGTTCTTAAAGCCAGGTAGTCTCCTATTTCCTTTGGGAATCTGTTGGGAGCTGGATCAGTTCTCTTTTGACAGTCACCTGGATTGAGCTGCTTCCAGTGTGAAAGGAGAGTGGGGAAACCATCCAGGGTATATTTATACCACTGAAATCAGGAGTGAGAATGAGGAGCTGAAGTTGAGTCCAGATGGTGAGGAGAAGCTTTTGGATTGGATCCCCAACATGAATTGCAGGAGTCCTTGTTTTCAGACTTGTATCCCAACATTTCTGTGGGGCAGAGAATTGAAAACAAAGGAGGCTCAGTTTGGTATTTATTTCTATGTACTTGAATTCAGGGTTGAGCATTCATCTCACTGAATACTTGGTCAGATTTAGGGGGTCAGAGGATAGTGAGGGGTAGATTGTGAAGAGGGCACAACCTGTGCCAGGGCCTCACCACCTTATTATTGCTGTATTCATTAAAACTAATTAAAGAGAAAAATAAGGACCACTAGAGGGCTCTGAGCACCATCTTTAAATGTCCTGTCCAATCCAAATCAGTCTGATTCCATGATAATCCCTCTCAAAAAGGAGCAGGTTGGAGTCTCTACACGTTTATGCTGATAGGAAACACAGCAGATTAAATCCACCCCCTTCAGGTCTTGCTGTTTATTTACTTATTTTAAATAGCTCCCTGGCGTCCCCCAAAGCTCTGACATGGCCTTGTTGTTCCTTTTTCCAGTGACAGGAGTGTGCTGGAAGAAGAACTTGAGAAGCTGATCGAGGCTCTGATTGAGAACTTCCTGGAGCCTGACAAGAACGGGCTGACCTGGCGCTCGGCGTAGGCCTGTCCCGCTGTCCCCAGGAGCCTCCACGTGGAACAAAGGGCCCAAGAACAGGAGCAGTTCAAATGTCTGTGTGTCTCTGTGTGTTAAACAGCTGCATTTCTGCTCTGTAAAGAAGCAGCATTCTTTTGTCAGGCTTTTCACCAAAGTCTGGGCTAGAAAAGGGGGACGAAATTGGAGAAAACAGTGGAATTAATTGCTATCATTTTCCATCCTTTTGACCAAAAGGTTAATTAACCCACACCAGTGCAAATGAACTGCCCTGATGTGTTTAAGGCAGGTGATCTTAGCCACTGGATCTTGTCTTAAATTCACTCCAGGTACTTAAAATACATTTTCTTTGTGTGAAAAGCTTTGAAAGTCAGGTAGAAATGATCACTCCAGACTGACACAAATCCTGCTGCTTCCTCTCAGCTCTGTGTGACCCTCAGAACAGGTCTGCGCTTCCAAAAACATGGACGTAGAGCTCAGCATTTCTTGTTTAGGCCAATTGTTGACATTTTTCAGCTGCTTAATTAATTCTTCTATTGGTGAAGGTGTTCTTGGTGCATTTTCTGTGTCTGTCTTAAAAAACTTGGCAGTGAAACAATAGTGGCAACACCTGCAGTTCTGCTTTGGGGTTGGAGTTGTGTAGTGCCTTTCCAAGGCTTCCAAAGGAGCAGGAATTGGTCATTAGTTAAATTGCCTATTCTGACTATCCCAGGCTTTGTAGCTCTTTTTTGTCCCACCTCCCTCAAGGGTCTTAAGGTTTTTTGGTTTTTCTGTGTTCATTAAGTTTTTCTGTACTCAGTCAGTGACTTTTTGGTTTTTTCTGACCTGAATTTATATTGTTTGTGTTTAAAAAAAAAAAAAGTGGAGGTGAGACACTGACAGAGTTACTAAGTCATGATTTTTTTTTTCATGTCTTGTCAGCTAATTTCTGTTTGAGTAGCACTCTGTAAATACTGCTATTCTTTCTCTCTTAGGGCAAATATTTAACGACTTCTCATTATCTGTTTTCTGAGTAGAAAGTGATACAGCTAATCACATTTCCAAAAAAAATAAGCCAATGCACAGGTTCTCCTGCAGAGATGTGGTACTTCAGAAGATCAAAGCCACACTTTGGCACAGGAGAGCTGGTTCTGGGCATCTCCCTGTTACCACTGACAGGAAGTAAATAAAAAGTAGATAAAACCCAGCACTGAATTGCTGTGTTGAAGGTGATGTGAGAAGAACCCAAGATGCACTTGAGTTCAAGCTGTTGTTTGCCACTATTGCTAACTCTCCAGGTTTGTCCTCCATCTGATTTTACCCTTCCAGCTGGATGGCACAGGGTGGGTTTGTATGTGCTGCCTCTCCATGGCTTTAAAGAGCCCCTTGGTTTGGGTTTTTCCTGCACTATATCCATGGAGAAGTATTTTGATGTATATGAATGTACATGTGCCACAGAAGGTCTGTGTTGCACAAATTCTGACCTGTCACTATTTATTTATTTTTTATTTTAAGAGAAAGTATCTCCAAATTGTTCTGCCATTGAGTGAAATGTATCTAATGCCAAAAAACTGCCTTTTTTTTTTTGTTCTTTTAATTGTACATTTGATTGATGTGGGGGGAAAACAGGTAAATCAGAGTATGCTTATGTTGTTGTATAGTTCTGGGTAGGTCTGGAAGGTGTGAAGGCACTTCTGATGCTGCTTTGCCTTCAGTTTTCCCAAAAAAGGTGCAGGTCTGCACCAAATTTGCAGGAACTCTTTGCCATTCCTGCCTTTGGCAGCAGCTTAAACCCTGAAGCATTGAGGATTTTGTTCTCCTGGTGGTACAGAAGAGAACAAGTGACTTGGGACATAACTTTGAACAAAGGCTGTAAAAAGCATAGTGTGTGTGTGTGTGCTGTGTTATTGTAGCAGTTCTGTCTTGTGAGTGATGTTTGTGCTCCTACAAAGAGCAGGAATCTGCCATTTCCCAGAGATCTGCTTTGCATCAGTAGCTAAGTGTTATAAATGAAGACAATCTGGGTTTTTGAATAAGCACTGTTAGAAGTTGGTATAACTGTTCATAGTCTGAATATCTTTAATTAAATGAAAAAGCCCAGATGTGGGTGTTTTGTATCTGGGATTCTTCCCATGGATGGGTTTGGCAGTGTGTTGTAGCTGTTAGTGATGCTTTTGGGATGACAGCAACAGGCACAATGTATTGAATGTACTTTAAGGGTAGAATAACTATTTGCTCTTTTGAAACTGCTGCTACTGTTGTTCTCCTACTGTATTGGAACTGTTGGATACATTTATACTGTTCCATTTGTGGAACTCCTTTATTTCCTTCTGATCTCGCATCCTTTACCTCTGTTACTGTGAAGGACTGGAATTCTCTTGTTTCTCTGCCCTGTAACTTTGTTATGCATCTTGTTAGAGTTGATCTGGCTCCTGCACAACCTTCTTTCAGTTGTTCAGCTGGTTTTTTTTTTTTGTTTTTTTTTCCTGCTTCTCAGATAAGAACAAAGGCTTTTCTGACTTGAGTAGGGAGCAGGTCACAGATCAAAGGACACCCTGGGTGTTGTTCATGAGGTGCTTCCAGGTAAAATACACCTTTATAAAGGTTGGACATTGACTTAAACTGCAATCACAGGGCCAGTGAGTTGGGTTTAGTGTTTGATAAAACCCAGAGGGCTTGGTTTTGCCTTTTCCCTTCTGATGTGACAGGTTTAATCTCTGTGGCAAAGCTGTGTTTCCCTGGGTCTGGGACAGGAGCTTTCCAAGTTTGGGAGACTTGCCAGGCAAGGCTCAGTGTCAGTGAGACACAGCTTGTAGCTGGATTTCTTATTCTAGTTGTGAAACACCGTCCAGTGCGTGGCTTAAATAGTTTCAAGGGCTGCCCATGTCTCTCCTGCATCTCTAAAGGATGATTCCTGTCAAGGCAAGAGGGAATCATAAGCTCTGGCATGAGAGAGAAGGAGGGAATGTGTTTAACAGGGAAAGGTGGGCTGGAAACCTCCAGCACCAGGCTGGCTGTGGCCCAAAGGAGCGGAGTAGCCCCCACTTGGTGTTGGGGTGCTGAGCCAGGTCTGCTTCCCTTGCATTCCCAGCAGGATGTGACTCAGAGGAGCTGGGATTCCCTTGGGCTGTGGGAGAACTGGGATGTTGCCTGAGGAACTACTAATTTCCCTCAGCTCTTTCTTCTAAGGAGGGGACATGCACTTGTGTTGTCCACAGGGTAGGTGAAGATGTGAAACCCTCTGTGGCTGAGGTCGAGGGGAGTTGCCCACACTCTGCCCGGGGCTCCCTTCCCTGCCCTCACTGGTCCAAAGCTGTTGCTGTCCCAGGTTGGTGGTTACCTGCATGTTGACATTCCTGGTGTTATTCCCTGGTTTATCTGTGCTCAGGTAGCACTTTGTGTGCCCTCTCTGCCAGGCTCCTGAAGGATTATGGATTTCAGCTCCTGTTTTGTTAAAGACAGCGTGTTTGTGAAATTCTGGGAGCATTGATGGAGAAGCCACAAGGTGGAGTGAGGCAGGTGGAATGTGTGTGCTGCTTTAGGAAGCACTTGGATGTTCCCTTTAATTTTAAAACTCATATTGTTACTACTTTATTTTGTCTTTTCCCCCACTTTTTGTTCTCTTGTCTCCCTGACGGAGAGGGGACTCTCTGCATGGTGACACCTGGGTGGTTCCAGCCCAGCTTGATCCCCAGAACATTTGCCAGCCCCCTGTTCAAGAGTAACTCTGTTCAAGGTGATTGAAGTATCTGAAGTTGCATTGTTTCCCTTGCCTGGAATCTTGGGGAGTTCTGGATCTGTGCTCCCGTTTACCCAGTGTCTGTTCTGTAAAACTTGGGCATATTACAAAATAGAGTGAGAATTTGCACTTTTCTGAAGAGTTTCTGTGTATTGCTATGTGGATTTAGCTGAATGAAGTGTTAAAAATAATAAAATGTTCCCTTTGTAGTTGCAATCCTTCTGATTTCTTCCATCTTCTTTAGCCAAACGCTGTTGCCCCAAAAGCTGAGCTGGGGGAATATCCATGTGGCACTTGGATATCTAAAGAATTTTGGGGTGAAGTTGCTTCAGGAAAAAGCAGCAGCTTGGAAGGGAGCTGGCAAAGGGAGGGAAGAGGGTCTGTCTGAGGGGAAAGGAGCAGCCTGTCCTGCAGGTGAGCTGGGGTGGGCACTGCAGGGGAGAGCAGGTCCATCCAAGGGTGGGACTGGCCCCAAAGGGATTTTAGTTCCACATCCTGTCCCACCAGGGAACTGGGCAATTGGAGAGGGACCTGTCCAGTTCCACCCCCTGCCATGGGCTTCTTCCACAAGCCCAGGTTGCTCCAGCCTGGCCTTGGACACTTCCAGGGATGGGGCAGCCACAGCTTCTCTGGGCAACCTGTGCCAGGGCCTCACCACCCCCCCAGCCAAGAATTCCTTCCCAGTGTCCCCTCTAACCCTGCCCTCTGGCAGTGGGAAGCCATTCCCCCTTGTCCTGGCACTCCAGGCCATTGTCCAAAGTCCCTCTCCAGCTTGCTTGGAGCCCCTTTAGGGCACTGGAAGGTGCTAGAAGCTCTCTCCAGCTTGGCTTTAGTATTTAAAGGTTAAAACACCGTGGAGGTTCATGGAAGGTGGTTCCTGAGGGCACAGCAGCACATCCAGGAAGGTTCTTGCATCCCTTCAGTGATGGCCACAGGCTTCATCCTGCATATCAGTGGTGGTTTTATCTCCTTTGTAAGGCTCTTCTTGGAGCCCTTCTCCTCCCAGCTCCCCAGAACTACTCCAAATTACCACCCATTGTCCTGTGCTGGGCAGCTCAACAGCTGGGCAGGTCTCTAGGGAGAGACTTAACCCTACCCCTTCTGAGGGGTTGTGATGTCAGAAGACAGGGGAGGGACATGGAGATGGACAGGTTTGTTTGGGCTGGGGGTGAGGAGAGCAGCAGGACACATGGACAGAGCAGGGCAGGGAGTGGGGGACAGCGGACGTGGCTGAGGCTCCACCGGGCTGTAGTTGCAGGAGCCAGCACTGGATGTCACCAGCAGCCCAGGCAGAGGGACACAGCCCTGGGGTGCTGCCACTGGCCAGCTGCACCCCCTGAGCGTGTGGGGGCACCCTGGGCTTTGGCATTGGGGTGCAGAGCAGTGGGATGGGCTTCAGCACAGAGAGGAGGACCCTGGCACCAGGTCCTGCTGCTTCCCTGCTGAACGCGGACACTTCTCCCAGGAACAGCATGACTGGGCTGGTGCAGCCTCCTCAGGGCCTGTGTGAGCAGTTTGGGGACCTGAAGGTTCTGGGGTCTTTCTGTGTTGCTGGCACAGTACCAGGACCTGGGGACATCAGCCTGGGAGCGCTGGGGCTGCTGGAAGCTCCGGAGTGCTGGCAGGCAGTGGTGCCTGGCTTCACATTTAGGTCTTGTCAATTTACATGTTAATTTAGTAACTAAATTAATTAATAATAATTAATGTGCCAAGCCCAGCCTGTGTGGGCTGTCCCTCGGGCTCAGCTCCCTGGGGGCTCGTGGATAGGTCCTGGTTGGCTCCACCTTGCCATGGGAGAATGAGGACAGTGCTGTGGGTGCTAGGCTGCTGGTGGTGTCAGGGCAGCAAGAAGGGATGAGGGTTGGTTGCCTCCTCTTGTGATGTTATTTGGGGAAGTTAGGGAATGGTTTCTGTGTGTATAGAGCTCCTGAAGTCCCATCAGAGGGTTTGGGGTTGGAATGGGACCAACATCCCCCAAAACATGGTCCCTGGAGTCAATGGTAGTCAACTCCACTGTTTTCCAAAAGGAGACTGAGGCACAGAGGAAGAGAAAAACAGGGGCTCAGGGATCTGTCCTGCCCATGCAGAGCAGCATCTCTGAGCCACCTGAACAATTAAAAGGGATGAAGATCATCTAAAAATAGGGATTTGTAAATGTCAGGCTGCTGAGGGGCTGGGAAACATGCTGGGAGGATGGAGCAGCTCCACAGGACTGCTGTGCTGGTGTGTCCTTACACAGGAGCAGGGACCAACACTGATGTGCCCTGGGTTGATCCTGCTCCCCCTGGCTCCCTGAGAGATCCCCAAACCCAGAAACTGGCTGATGTGGATCATCCTGGGCATGCAGCACCAGAGGGATTTTCTGTGCTGTTTTATCCCAATGGGAGCTGCAGAAGATCCCAGCTCTGCTTTGGATGGGAGATGGGGTGGGGTGACACCAGCCCCTCAGCATCAATTATTTTTCAGTGGATTTTCATAGGAGAAAACTTCAGTGAAGACCCTGCCCTCAGAAGGCACCATGGGATGATCCCAGCCTCAGGAACTGGGTGATGTGCTGCCAAAACCACCTCAGAGATGTTCTGGTCCCCCCTCTCCACGCAGACGAGGGCACAGGGGCACCCCTCCAGCACCTCCACCTCCACAGCTTCTCCCCCATCCCCAGAACCCCACCTGTCCCCAACGTGCCAAAATCTTGTATAAAACAGCTGGGAAAGCAAGTTTATTTGGAAAAATAATCCAGATTGGGGCAGATTAGTGGGAACACGTCCTTGCCCATCTGCCCGGGCAGTGCTGTGCCAGCTCCCTCTGGGGCTGCCCGGAGTCAGGCTTGGGAAAACACACAGCTCTGCTGCTGCTGGGGGCTTTGACCTGCTTCCCTGGCCCAGCTGAGTGACCCCAGCCCCTCTCCCTCAGGAAAATCCCTCAGATCCCTGGTGTTGTCACCTCCACCCCCTCCTTGCTGCCAGGGGCAGGTCAGTGATCAGCAAGGACCTTCCATCCCCCAGAATTATCCCAACCTGGCTAATTAGAAGCATCCACAGGTAATAGAGGGGATCCTCAATAATCCCAATTTCTTTAGCAGGGTGCAGGAGCCACCTCTGAGCTGGAAGAAGGACAAACAGAGCAGGGATTGTCCTGGGCTTGGAGATCCCACAGCTGCCCTGAGTTTTGAGTCCTGCTGAGGTCTGAAATCCATTTCTGTCAGTTTTTTTCCCCTGCCCAAAGCCTTCTCTGCTCTCAGGAACTCACTCCTGCTTTGTTCATGCCTCAGTTTCCCCAAGGCATGAGGGTAACACCTCCCCCTTGCTCTTTCTAAAGGAAAAAGTGAAAAGCAGAGGGGTATTTTTCCTCCCTCTGTAGGTTTGCGTTAATCCCTGATAACAGAGGAGAAAGGTGAGGGTGAGGGAGCCTGGTGTGAAGGTTCTCAGGGGTGAAGCTGCCCAGGGAGAATTAATTATTATTAATTCTGTGTATTTTTATCAGGAGGGGGCAGCTGGTGGTTGATTTCCTTCCCTACCCCTGGGTAGGAGCATCACAACCCCACACTCAGTGGGGACAAGGATGGTACTCCAGCTCAGTTATTTCCCCTGGATAAATCCAGCTGCAATCCATACTGAGACTTTTGGCCTCTTCTGCACTAAAGGAGACCACCCTCAGCCTCTTTCCTACAGCTCTGGCACCATGGAGCAAGTTGGAACACACCTGGGATACCTGGAGCACCTGAACCCCCCAAGGATGTGTGTGGGGGCAGGTGGGTGCAGGCAGGGCAGGGAGGGGATCCTGGCACAGCTCTGGCTCCATCCACATCCACCTCCTTGCCTGCCTCTTGGCTGGATCAGCCCAGGAGAACCTCCGAGCTCTTTGGAAAATAAGGAAGGAAAAGCAGATCTGAAAGCCCACTCTGGGCTGCAAAGTGCTGGTGGCATCTCATTTGGAGGGCATATAAATAGGCATTTTTGGGCTTTTTTTTCCTCTCCTCTTTTTTGGTGATGAGCCACTGCAGGGGGCTCTGAGCATCCTTTGCTTGATTCCTATCACAGATGCTGTTCATATCCTGAAATTCATCTGGTTTCAGGAGCTGTTGGGGTAACTTTCCCCTCGAGCAGCAGCCATGGGCTTGGGACACTGGGAGGTCCACATTCCCCTTCATGGAAAGGGACTGCCTGCGAACAGATGGGCTTCTCCAAACACAGGGCTGTCTCTGGGAACCCAAAAAGCACATTTTGAGTCTCAGCTCAGTGACAATTCGCTAATCCCGAGGTTCCCTAATCCTGCTGGTTTGTCATGTGTGGGGTATGTGCTGCACAGAGTAATGTTGATGTTAACAAGCCACAGGAATTATGCTCCTACAGCTGGTTACCCACCCACACCCCAGGGCTCTGCCTCCCTGGAGGGGGTCAGTGCACACACACAGGGTCTCGCTGCACTCAGGATGTTCCCAACCTCCTGCTGCTCAGTGCCAAAAGGAGAAGAACTCTCATCCCTGGGGCCTCAAAGCCACCACATCCCTCCCTCCAGCCTCCTGAAAAGCTGGAGCAACCAGCTACACACACCAGCCCACCCTGTTAGTCAAGGGACTTTGAGGCCAGGATGTGTTTGGCCACTTTTCCTATATCCTGGAGGTGATTTCTTTCCTGTTATCTATCCCAGGCTCTGGTGTTCCTTGATCCAACAACCGCCCCTCTGCCTGCAGTGCTCTCCAGACTTCTCCTTGCAAGATGTTAAATCTCACCAGGGTTTCCCACCTCCATCCCCCTGACCTGCTGTGCCTGTGGAGTCACAGCCTGGGCCATGCTCTGCCACATGTGCAAGTCCACCCCACAGCCCTTTCTTCTCTCAGGGGCTGCATTTTGGCTGCACAGGGGTGGGAAGTGAAGAGAGGAAGCAGGGAAGTGGATGAAGGTGAGGGGCAGGCTAAGATTTCTTCCCCCTCCCTCATTGCATGAGGTGGCAAAGTGGGACCAGAGCCCACAAGCTCCTACCTCGGGAAAAGATCCCCAAACTGTAACAAGTTTCTCAGATGATCTGAGCCAGGGTGCTCTCAGGGTTCATCAGGAACCAGCTCACTGCTCAGTAGGACTAGTCCAAAACACTCAGGAAAATTATTTTGGTGCCCAGTGCTATATCCCTACCAGAATCCAGGCTCTATTCCAGCTCCCCTTTCCCAGCTTGACCACATTGATACTGGGATTTCAAGAGGAGGAAGTTCAGGTGGG